CACACTCTCCTCTCAGGGCACTTTCCTTGGACCCCTAACCCATTCCTATAAGTGGCCCCTCCATCTTAAAATTCCTTTCTTTCCTGAATAGTTCAAGCCTGATATGCCTTCTCCTCCATAAATTTCCTCTTCTATCATGCCGCCTGGACCCTGGACAGGAAAGGGACCCCCCAAATCCTTGCCCACCCACCAAAGCCCCAAGTCCGGGGGCCAGAATCCAGACCCCATGGTGGTGAAGCTCTTTGTTTTCCTGCAGCCTCAACCCACCTCCTCTTTTTATAACAGGACTTTCTCCCATAAAAGGGGGGGTGGGCAAGAGCTTCAGAGCTTCAAGCTCTTTTTTCTCTGGAATATGGAGGAAACAGAAGAAGGAAGAAATCAACTAATGCTTAATTTCCAGAGAAGACAATCTGGGTATTGAATAAGGGGCACACCGAGCTCATTTCTCTCATCCTTCTCCCTAGCCTGCCTGGCACCCAAGCTACACCCACGTGTGTGCCTCAGTCCTGCACCCTCTTGCTGCCAATGCCATGAACTGCCACCTCCGCTCTGTCTTTAATGCAGTGGGCCAGGAATCCCACCCATCAGCTTCAGAAAGACACGGGCATCGGCCTCCTCCTTTTCCTGGCGTGTTCCTTTGGGATGCCTAAGTAGAAATGAGCATGTAAATGAAGTGCGAACACAGAGGGATGGCTAGATCCGCAGAGGTCTTTACTGGCAATAGAGGATTTCGGCAGCGGGCTGGGCATCTTCATAAACACATGTGGGCTGTGCCTACAAGGGCATGTGTGGAACTGTGCATGCACCCTGCACTGTCCCTAACGTCACATACGTCACACACGTCCAGTGAGGAGGCACAAAGAATATCGCCTTTGAGAAAAAGAATTTCAGAGTTGAACCTAGCTGGGACTCAGTCCCCAGAGGAAGCTGAGGGCAGAGTGGCTCTGGAGCCTCGCCCTTGCAAAGGTCCCTTTGTAAAAAGAGCCCAGAGCGGAGCTCGGCTTTCCGACCGACCAGGGCTGCCGGGCCATTTCCCATCTTCCTGTAGTCTGATGCAGCGCAACTAGAGACCGGGAGCCACACTCCTGTTCATCGGTCTTGATTTCCTGTAAACTTCGTCCGTTTTCCAGCGCCGCCGCCGCCCAGTGTGTGCCCCCGTGGGGGGAGGCAGAGGTCGTTGTCCAGGGGGAACTTCGAGGGTTGCAGCGCCCGGCTTTCTAGGGCGGGATCGCCTCGGAGGTGTAATTACTATGTTTCCAGTGGTGCATATTCTCCCGGAGTGTTTAATTTGGTTTTATTTGTGTCCCAGCGAGATCCACATTTTTGTTGGGGGAGGAGGGAGAAGCGACCCCAGGCTTAAAGTTAATTAACCAACAAGGCTTTGCTCTCCGCCGCCCGCCCGCGGGCTCTGGCAACGCCGCCTCCCGCCCCGCTCGGCGCGCCCCGGCCGTGGAGCCGGCAGTTTCAGGCGCGGAAGGTCTTGGGGAACCGAAAGAAAGAGCATGAGGACGCTGCACCGGCCGCTTTTAACTCCCTGAACGTTCCCCGCCAGCCTTCTCACCTCCCCGCGTCTCTTGGAACCTACATCTTCTTAGACTGGTCTTGACGAAGGGGATGTTGGTTCCAGCTTTCTCCTCTTGTCGCTAAATTTTGCCCGCATAGTGCCCCTAATAAATGGAATTGTAAAATTGCCGGGTTAATGAAATCTATATCTCATTGCAATAGGAATAGTTAATGTCCTTATATAAACCTGGAAAAGAACATACTATTAATTTTATTTATTACTGGGCAGCCCTGCACCCAGATCCTCCCCCCTGTTCTGCCCCCTACTCCCAGAAGCTGGGGGACGTCCTTGGGGTCTGGCCCGATGAATTCGCCTCTAGCATTGAGCTAGCCTAGAGCATTCGTGTACCCGGAAGGGAGCCCCAGGACTGGAGTGGGCATTTCAGGCCCTTTGTTTGTCCTCGTGGCCCCACAGAGCACGGTCCCTGTCGCCTTGGTTCTCCACTCCTCACGGATCCCGCACGCCACGGGAGGGGAAGCCAGGGCCTCAGGACCGCCTCTCCCCTCTTGGCTGGAAACCCACCCCAAAACCTCCCCACCCACCTACCCCCACTAGCCAGGCCACAGGCAGACGCAGGGGGCTGGAGGGGGGCAAGGTCACAAGACCCAGTCTAGACGGGCCAGGCCAAGTTTACTCTCCTCCTTTCACCTTGACCTTGGACTCCGGAGGCAGGGAAGCCAGTTTCCCAGCCAGGAGGGAGCTCCCAGAAAGACCTACCTTCACTTCGGCTCCTCTCTCCTCCTTCTACCATCATCACCCCTCGTGCTAGCCTGCTTGCCTGCTCCTTAACCTCTCTGTTGTATTTTCTGCCTACTGCCAGCCCAGCCTGAAACCTGATTTCCGAAATCTAAGGATGTTTATCACACTGATGAAGATTAGTTTCTTATCCTAACTCACCCTTGCCAGGACCTCTCCATGCTCTCCATCTTCAAACACCACCTTCCCCTACAGGAAGAGGGGAGACTGCGTGGCTGGGTCTCAGGATAGACCTGGCCCTTTGCTCTTGGGGCTGGCGGGGTCCAGTGGGTCTGGCTTAGCCTGAGGTTACTGTGAGCTGCCTGGACAGGAGTACCCAGCATGTAAACGCTGCAGCAGGGGCAGAAAAGAGGGAGATGCTGCAGCCCCTCTCCCCTCTTCCCCCTCTCTCTTTATGACCTCTTCTCCTCAGGGAGGCCCTGTGCAGAAAGGGAACTTGGCTCAATTCCACCGAGATGTGCCCTGGAAAGGGTTGCCTCTGTTAAGGCATCAACTTGGCATAGGAAGGCCAGTAAGTAAGTCGGGAGATTGGGAGGGAAGAAAGGGGGGGGGGCTTTACCATAAGTTGGTGTTAATTTGTCCTTTGAAATATGGGACAATTTTAAAGCATGAAAACAATTCACACTATAAAGGAGCTAAAACTGCACTGATCCTGGCTCTGCCCGGCCCACTGGCCCACACCAGCCTAACGGCCCAGGGCCGGGCCGGGGCTGAGGTCGGTCCTCCTGGCGCCTCCCATCTCTCCCTCATTTCAAGTTTCTTTTTGTACATAGATATGAGAGCAGGGGTGCTCTTATTCACATCCAGCGCTTTTTTAGCTTTCCTAGACCTAATCCTCGCCCCACTCCGCTTTCTTTGAAAAATCTCACTCCGAGGCTTTTTATTTCTATTGTATACTGAAATACCAGCCTATTCTATTGCCCCAATTTCCCATTTCCCTCCTTTTATTCTCCATGTTTCACTGAGAGCATCTCTACTCCGCACGGTGATGTGTGTGCGGGGGCGGGCGGGGGGCCATCGCATCCTTCCAGCACTGTTGGCTCCGCTGGAGAAAGACTTGCGGACCAGAGTCCCTGAGAAAACTGGGGCTTTAGTGTAAGTGGCTGGAAGTAGGAAATGGAAACGCCATCCCTTCATCCAAGTCTCTCTTCCTGCCCGGCTTCGGGACCTAGTGAGCTTCAGGGGAGTCGGCCTGGGTCCCAGCCGGGCTCCCCACGCCCTGCCTTCGCGCGCTGACGCCTGCTTTCTAGTTTCTTCACTTATTAAGAAAAAAAATCCAGTTTCTCCCTCACCCTTAGCTCCAAGTCCCAATCCACACACAGCGATCTTTTGGGGGGTGGGATTTGTCTTCCCCATATACATCCTAAGCCTTGGGGGAGACGCCCAGGAATAGTCCTCGCCTCTTCAGACCCCTTTGCGTCGGCCAAATTCAGCCTCCCCGCCCCCCTCCTCGTTCTCCCTCCCCGGGGCCTGCCAGGGGGCGTTGCCCTGTCCCTTTAAAACTCCCAGCTCCCTCCTCTTTGCCCCTCCTGACAGCCAATCAGCACAGAGCTTTTCCACTTTGCCCCGCCCCACCTGGAGGGGTGGGAACTCCAGGAGACCCGGCCCGGCTCGCTCCGCGCTGGCCGAGTC